GCAAAGACCTGGAACAGGACCCCCAAGAGGGGCTACCTGCCCAAGGAGGAGAAGTCATAGACAGTAGGGGCCGGGAAGGGGCTGGGACCAGATCATCCCTAGATGGGCACCTGACCACACCCGAGGTGATGTTTCTTTGTCTCATAAGAAATAATTTCTTTTCTATTTCAACTCTTGCACTTGTCCTTCCCCGCTGCCCCCCCCAAGGATGTGTATATGTCCCTATGTCCCCACTAATGATGAAAGAAATGCAAACAAAATCAACAGTGACGCTGCCCAGCATCTGAGCCTCTGCCAGCCAGCATGGCACAGTGCGGGGAGCCAGCTCGGCTGGCGCTGGGCTGGGATCGCACAGAGATGCAGCCCAGTCGGAGGGCAGCCTGGGGAGCCCCAAACACACCCTCTGCGCATGTGCCCTGAGCCGTAGGTTTCACGTCAGGACATTCTGGGTGGAAGGAACAGAGTGGGCGAAGGAATGGAGGTCGGGAAGTCGCAGTGTGAACCTTTGACAGAGAGATCGAGTCTGGCTCTTTGCCTTGGGAGGAAGGGAGCTGCTGTCCAGACGGGGCAGCAGGACACACCTGTCCCCACAAGGGTTGGGAGAGAAGACCAGGGCTTGCACCTCGGCCGCGGGGCCTGAGATCCAGACTCAGGGTCTGGGCTTGTCTGCAGCCTGGGGAGCTGTCATAGCGTTTATTGCTCCCCCAGGGCCTGGTGACGTGTGCATTAGGAGCCTGTTTCTCAGGTAAGGAAGCTGACCAGAGAGGCTCAGCCACCGGCCCAAGGTCACACTGCCAAATCCCAGTTCGAGCTCAGCTGTGTCCAGCTCCCACAGGTGAGGGTCAGGGCCTCGCACCCCTTCATTCCCGACCCTCCCGTGGTGTCTCCCCTGAGCGGTGTGGCTCGGGGAACAGCACTTAGGGTCTGTAGCCCTCAGGAGACTGGCATCTGCAAGGGTAGAATTGGGAAAAGTCCCCAGCCAAGTGGAGACCCACATCCTTGCACAGATGACAGTTCTTTGGGGGCAAGACTGGAGGTTACAACATTGGAGATGAAACCCATTCTAGCCCACTCGAGGGCTTCTGCCCAGGCGAACGTTCTGTGGGGCCCGGGCCAGCCTCCTCACCTCCCCGAGCCTCGGTTTTCTCCTGCGCTGAACAGAGACAAGGGGCCATGCTGGGAACCAGGCCCAAGTTCGAGTTTGCCTGCCCAGGGGCCAAGTGCTCAGTTTGGCTACAGGAACTCTGCTGCCCCCCTCACCTGCACCACCCTCCCTGCCCCTCCCAGCCTGCCCTCCCCCCTGCCCTCCAGCTCCCTCACTCTAACCTTAACCCTCCCTGCCTGAGGAGATGCTGCCCAATTCATGAATCGCTTAAAAAGCCAATTAGATCTTCGGTTTTACTTGGTTCCATTTTTTTTCTTTTTTCTGACCCCCCCCCACATGCTTACTTCAGTTTTGTTAACAGGCGCAAACAACCCTAATGCCCATTAACTTAGTGAATAGATAAGCAAAATGTGGTCTCTCCACACAATGGAATATTATTCAGCCTTAAAAAAAACCCAGCCCTGGCTGGTGTAGCTCAGTGGATTGAGCGCGGGCTGCGAACCAAAGGGTCGCTGGTTCGATTCCCAGTCAGAGCACATACCTGGGTTGCAGGCCAAGTCCCCCAGTGGGGGGGTCACATGAGAGCCAACCACACATTGATGTTTCTCTCCTTCTCTTTCTCCCTCCCTTCCTCTCTCTCTAAAAATAAATAAATATTTTTAAAAAAGAGAGCCTTTTACATTCTACCACAGGGATGAACCTTGAGGACATCATGCTCTGTGGCATAAACCAGCCGCAGCCCTGGCCGGTGCGGCTCAATGAGTTGAGCCCTGGTTTGCGAACTGAAGGGTTGCCGGTTTGATTCCCAGTCGGAGCACACGCCTGGGTTATAGGTTCCCAGTTCAGGGTGTGCAGAAGAGAGGCAACTGACTGATATGTCTCTCCCTCTCTTTCTCCCTCCCTTCTCCCCCTCTCTCTCTAAGAAAAAGCAAAGTTTTGTGTTAGAGATTTCTCACTGGATGATGCTCCACCATCAGTTGAAGTCGATAGTGATTAAATTGAGACATTAATTGAGAACAATCAACGTTATACCATGCAGGAGGCAGACAAAATATTCAAAACACCCAAATCAATAAAGTTACTGATGAAAATGAAAAGAAAGTGTCTTTTATTTTACAGAAAAAGACTGAACAGACACCTTGACCAACCCAACAGCACTCGGGGGTGGAGGAAGGTCTGGAGGTCACATGAGGCGAGCACAGCACCCCTTTCTGGGGCGAGGAGCCGGGGGCCACCTGCCCAGGGAGGAGAAGCCACAGACAGTAGGGCCCAGGAAGGGGCTGGGACCAGATCATCCCTGGACGGGGACCTGACCACACCTGAGGAGATGTTTCAACCCCCCTGTGGCAGAACCTGACCCCATGGGATCAGCCTCGGAAACCGGCCTTTGCAGGTAAGTCTCATCCAGGACACGATGTTTACTGAACATCCACCATGAGCCAGCGGTGGTGGGTGCTATAATGGCATCGTGTGTGTGATCCTCCAGGTCTGTTTCATCTCCTCCTGGGTCTGTGGTGGGAACACTGAGGCTGAGGGCCATGGGCAGACAGTGGCAGCAACGGGGTGTGAACTTGGCCCAGCAGCTTCCACTAGATGGCGCTAAAGGTAGGTGATGATGACTGAAAGTAGCCTGGGAGGAGGTTGGGGGAGGTTCCAGGAATCCCTGAAAGCCAAGCCCTTTTTCCAGGCAGGCAGCAGTGTTAATGGTCAGGTTTTCTGGGTTCAAACCCAGGCTCTGCCCTACAAGTTCCACAAAATGTTACCCCCTTTTTCATTGATAAAATAAAAAAAATATAATAATAACTGAGTATAACTTTTTTGTAATACAGGTCTACTAATGAGAAAATGGACTTTTTTGGAGAGGAAGTAGAATAAAGTTCACTTATTTGGAGTTAAAAATTAGTGTGTTCCCTATCATCAATCGATCGCAATGGTCATCGGTTTGGACCATTCATAGCTTCAAGCTATGAGCTATAAAAAACAGGTGGGGAGCTGGATGGGGCCAGTGGTTTGTTGACTTCATATCTAGAAGTTTCCTTGACATTCAGTTCTATTTTTATGCCTTTTAAAAAACCCAAGAATATGTTTATTGGCTTGAGAGAGAGAGAGAGGAAGGGGGAGAGAGAAACATCGATGTGGGAGAAACATCAATTGGTTGTCTCCCGTACCCAACCGACAGGAGACAGAACCCAAAACCTAGGTATGTGCCCTGATTGGGAATTGACTCCGCAGCCTTTTGGTGCACAGGATGATGCTCCAGCTGAGACACGGCCAGCACTAGTTTTCTGCTCTTCTTTAATGTTGCTGGCCTTCAGTGTTTTTAGTTGTGTGTCTAAATTCTTCTTCATAAACTGCTGTCACATAGGATGGCGGTACGGTGTTGTCTCCTCGAATTCATGCGCTGAAGTTCTAATCCCCAATGCGATGGTGTCAGACGTGGAGCCTTTGGAAGGTTGGTTGGTCATGAGGATGGAGCCTTCATAAATGGGATTAGTACCCTAATAAAAGAGACCCCAGGAAGCTCCCTGACCACTTTTGCTTTGGAGTGCAGAGCAAGATAAACATTTATGACCAGGAAGCAGGCCCTCATCAGATGCCAATCTGCTGGTGCCAGAATTGTGAACAATTAGTTTGTGGTGTTTAGAAGGTACCCCATCACTGGTGCTTGTTGTCATAGCAATCTGAACAGACCAAGACACATGGCTTCATCTTAAATGCTGCAGTGAGGATTCAATCCAGGCCTGGCTTCAGTTTTGTTTCTCACTAGATCAGGCTGCTTCTTCCTGACAGACGGAGTTCACAAATGAGCCAACTTTTGAGCAGGCCATGCCTGACTGCTGTGTGCAGAGTGCAACATGTCACATCATCCTGTGGACAGAAAAGGGACCACAAACTAAACCTGACAAGCTCAGGGGAGGCCTGCCTGCATGGTGGCCTTGCAAACTCGGAGACCAAAGTAACCATATAGGATGGTCTGAAATGAAAACTTTCTAACGAAAAGCAGTTCGTGGCAGGTAGTCATGTCCCAGGGCTGTATTTTCCCTAACAAATGGCAGTCTTCACCACCCTCACCTTAACTGAGCCTGTTGTCTTTTTTTTTTTTTGCACCCACAAAAATATACCTGAAAACATACCTTTGGTGTATCAAAGTAATTCCCTTTTTTCCAGGCCCCTCAAAAGTACAACCACTACACCAGAGCAGAGACCACAAACCCCCGAATTGTTATCATCAGGTTGATTGTGGACTGTTAACGATCCCATACCTGCAAAGGTAAATGCAATTCCAAAGGCGGCCGTTCCCTGCCCCTCTTCGCTTTCTCCGGCCTCCCTAACCTATCACCAAGGTATTTCACGTAGCCGACTTGCGCCTCCTCCTTTGATTGTGATGTAGAAAATAAGATGCATAACTGCTATTCCCTGGAACATTTTCTGAAACCGTTGAGATTTCGCTTCCTGGCAATTGCTGTCAGTTTGGCTGAAATAAACTCATGAAAATTATTGCAGTTTTCGGATGTTTCTTAACGTTCACAACCCTTGTAACAAAGCCTACCAGGTAAGTACTACCACAGTGCCAATTTTACAGGCAGAAGCTGAGCAGCAGAGGGGATCAAGACGGGACTGGACTCAGCGCCACAGTCATCACGCCGCTTTGCCTCAGTGTCAGGGTCAGTCCCGCGCCCAGACCCTTCTCAACCTCATTTCTGGGCCCTGAAGGTTGTGAAGCCCCCGGAAATAACCGGACTGGCTCTTCCCAGGCTCTCAGCCCGGGACAAACAGGGTGCACAGAGGAGTCAAGACTTTCGGGGGAAATCTGATCCCGGAAGCAGTTGCGGCGCCTGCTGTAGCGTCTTCGGTTGCCAGGGCGCCGCCCCGGAAGTAGGGCGCGGCGGGCTTGTCCGCTGGGCAGCGGACGGTGTCCTCCTGCGAGCGCCGGAGTGGGGCTGGAGGCGGGGCCGGGGCGCGGTGCGGGGACGCCCTGCCCGGCGTTCCACGGGGCTGTTCCGGGCTCTGCGCCCACAGGTGAGGCCTCGCGCCGAGGCCGCCGTACCCCAGGACCGAGGGTGTGGCTGTACGTGGGTGAGCAGTGCAGGCGCCCGGGTCTACGCGGCCGCTCCGCGATGAGGTTCCATTGCTACTGGTGGGGCCCGAGCCCCGCTGGGAAGAATGCTCTGACCACCGTGCCCCTCTTCCTGCTCCGAGTTCCCATGACTTACCTTGTACCGCCCGATTCTTGTAATTGCACTCTTATGATTGGTTATCCCAGCATTTCATTGTTCCTAGGCTTTTGCTGCAATCTGTGTTGTTTCTGTTGACATCTTGCAGCGCGCAGGGCACCTGTGGCGAGAGCTGTGGGCAGAACGCTGGAAACTTGTCTTCCCCGCTCTACCCACCTCTCTTTGGGGTCTGGACCTAGGTATCTCCCCTCCCTGCTTCCCCATCAGGTAGAGGGGCGGGGGCAGAGTTAGTGGTCCACCTCATACAGTCGCTGCAGCGTTACAGGGGACCCATTCTAGAAATTAGAAATATCTTGTCGTTGTACGCCGTTTAGTGTGCTCAACATTTATTGAGCACATTTCAGTGCTAGGCTGTGGTAGTGCAAAAGATCGGCAAAGAATTACAGGCCTGGATAAACAGTCGGGTAAACGATCTCGTGGAGCATGGCACTAGTGCAGAGGGGGTGAGGAGACAGACGGCTGCAATACAGCTGCCAACGGGTGCACGGCGTGGATGCGAAGTCATTTATATTTTTGTATATTGTTTTCTTTAAAAGTGGTGCTTTTTCCTTTCCAAAGAAGGCTAGCTGGAAACGAATCCAGATGCCCTAGAGTTGTGGCCTCGCTGAGACTATGGAACGTGATAGTGAGCCCTGACCCGGGTGGCTCAGTGGGTTGGGCATCCTCCCGCAAAGTGGAATGTCTCGGGTTCTATTCTGTGTCAGGGCACATGCCTGGGTTGGGGGTTCCTGGTCTGAGGCAACTGATCCATGTTTCTCTTTCACATCAGTATCTCTTTCCCTCTCGTTCTCCCTCCCTTCCCCTCTCTCTACAAATAAATAAGTAAATAAATAAAATATTTTTAAAAAGAAGAGAGAAAGAAAGTGATAGCGATAGTTCGGGGCAGTGGGATGAAGGCAGAGAGAGCTCAGGTCTTAGACCGCTGGACCAGAAGGGGGAGGTGACAGACGGCTCCCGGGCTTGCTGTTTCTCCTGAAAGGTGGTCCTGGCTTTTGCCTGTGAGTAGTTCTAACTCCAGGATATGAAAGACCTCTCAGCAAAGTTCAAGTGAGTCCGCTGCTGGGCGGACAATGGACGGCACTTAGGAAACCAGATCCTGTGCTTGTCCAGGATCTCCGGGGTGAGGGGAGAGACGCGGAAGGCTGTGGAATCTTCTGGAGGAGAGCTGACAGGGTTTGGTGTTTGAGTTACTAGGATCAGAACTGTTCAGGAGCACCTCTCCCCAGGCAGCTTTTCGAGGTGGCTCTCAGTGCTGAGTGGCTGCTCGGAAGCCAGTCTGTCGATAGCCCAGGGGCCACGCCTGTGGAAACTTTTCTCATGTTTGTGAAGATTCTGCCCACTTGCCCTGGGAATGGGACCCACATTGTGCTCTGCAAATGCCAACAATCGTCTGTTTTCCAGACGGCTTTCCAGGCTGACAGACCCCGGGTGGCAAGAGCCCCCCTCAATTTCGAGCTAGGATCAGAGTAAAGATCGGCATGTGGCTGTGTTCCCTGGTTACGTTTGATGCTGCCTGGCGTTCAGAGTGACTGACCTCGTGGCTTAAAATTCAGATGTATCCATTCCTATGAACCAGACCAGAGGTAAAGTGTCAAGTTCATCACACAGTGCCGTTAACACCACTTTATTCTTTTTCAGGAGGAAGTGACAGGAAGACGATCAGACAGCAGGTATTTGTTTGTTCACTTTTCAAGGGGGAAGAGCTTACTGTGTCTTAGGGTTGGGAAGGAGTCAGCCTGGCTTCCATACTGGGGGTTGAGCCAGCTGGTGCCTTTGTCTGTTCTGCAGACAGTTGCTGAGCCCCCTGCCCTGCGGGGGTGGGGGGCATCTGTCAGGGGGCCCTGGACACCCGGTGCGGGAGGGAGGCAGGGTGGGCCGATGGCAGGTTCCTGTCTCTCCCCTGCCTCCAACTCCCTCTGTAAGTGGAGAGAACGCCTGCCCTAGGGCCTCAGGTGAGCTGTCAGTGACGCACCCAGCAGAGGAGAATCCAAACAAGCTGCCCAGCCCAGTGCCCCACACTTTCTAGGGCTTGATGAGTGCTAGCTGTCGTTCTGGTGATTATATGGCTTGTAATCAGAACTCCGTCTGGGAGGGCAGTGTCTCCAGCGCCTGCCCAGAGCCCCACGGCCTGCTGTGTGCCGGGCTGGGGTGGAGAGTGTGCTGCGCCAGGCTAGGAAAGGTTCCTGGGCGGCGGTTGGGCGGGGCTCCTGCTGCCTGTGGGAGTCCCCGCTGCGCGCGGGCCCACACCCGCCCGGCCCTGCGGCAACCACGGCACTGGAGGGAGCTCTGGCTTTCAGCCCCGGTTTTGGACTGGGGAGGCCGAGGCCCTGAGAGAACCTTCCAGCACCTGTGGTTCGGCCATGTCAGTACCAGCAGCGACCGGGCCACCTAGCTTCAGGCAGGAGGAAGCTGCTGTCCCTCCTTTGGCTCTTCGCTCACAACCTGAAGGTGGCCTCTGTTCATTTGTGCTTCTTTTTTTTAAAACTGCAGTGACTGCCTTGTATTTTTGTTCATCACTTTCCTGTATTCGGTCTCACGTATATACGTGTTTATACATATCACTTTTTATGGGCAGACGTTTCTCATTCTTCTTTTCCCCCTAGGGTTTAGGATGGTTACATCTCATACTGGTTTCCCAGGACTGTGGTGTCAAAGAGCCACAAGCTGGTGGCTCCAGGCGTTGGCAGGGCCATGAGTCTGTGGAAGGGGGGCTTCCTCGCGTCTCCCCCCGTCCGGCGGTGCTGGGGGATCGTTGGCTTGTGGAGCATAACTGACCTCGGCCTCTGTCTTCACACTGCCGGCTTCCCCGTGGCTGTGTGCCCCTGTGTCTGTGTCCACGTTTCCTTATAAGGACAGCTGGCCCTGAATTAGGGCCCGCCTGAAGGACCTTGCCTTAACCACATGGACCCTACGTCCAACTAAGGTCACCTTTACAGGTGCCTGGGTTATGACTTCAGCATATGTTTTGGGGGGCACAGTTGAGCCCATGACACATCCCCCAAAGGGACTATTAAAAGCAAAGGGCAAGGTTCGGAGGCCTGACCCTTGAAGATCTGTCTGTTGTCTGACACACACGCACTCACGCACGCAGTGAGCGGTTAGGGTGTGCCGCTCACGCGCCAGTGGTCTCGGTTCTGGGGGTAACGGGGTCAGGCACGGGGACTGTGGGCTTGGCTGCACGTGCCCACACTTAGACCTGGAAAGAATCTAGGGAGGAGAGGGGATCGGGTGACGGGGGACTCCGCCCTCATGCATGGCGGGAAGTGCTGAGCGCCGACAAAGGGGTTAGGGGAGTCTCCAGAAGATTCCGAGTTGGGACTAGTAATTCCAGCAAAGGGATGAGAGTGGCCCCCGAGCTGCGCTTGCTCACGGGCTGGGTAGGAACTGGGGGAGGGGCGGTGGAGAAAGGCCGCTCGGTGGAGAGGAGGGAGGGCAGAGTGCAGGCCGGCGGGTGGGAGCGAGCTGTGCAGGTGCGTGGAGCAGCCAGGAGGAGCAGCGTGGGTGACGGGGTGGTGTGGCGGCCGGGAAGGTGGGCGGGAGCCAGTGAGTGAGTGACAGCGTTTGGAAATACCGACCACAACCGGAGAAGACCCCGAGGTCCCCCTCCTGTGCACTTGTCACACAGAAGGCGCTGCCCACTGAATACGCTGCTCAGTCACAGTCCTGCCACGTTCGCAAAACTGTTGGAGGGTCTCTTGACACGTGCCATGTACACCTCAGCTGGGTGTTCGTTTTAGATCAGGTAAGAACCCAAGTCAGAGTCAGTGAGACCGAAGAGGAAGCGTCGGTCCTGTCGGTTCCATAGGTGCCTGTGGTCGGTCTGGCGGAGAGGTTTCCCTCCAGTGTCCGTTTGTCACGATGGAAGGAGCAGGGTGCCAGGAAGGAGACCCACCTTCTCCACCTCCTTGGAGGTGCCATCTTCTGTTCAGCTCAGTACAGTGCAGCTGCCACCTCTGTGATTTCCCAATGTCACCCTCACTTTCCTTCATGCCCAGGTGGGAGTCAGAGACGGGAGGAGGCCACCCAGGAGATTTGTGTGACGTAGGGTGACTTAAAGGGTGCAGCCCGGGGGGGCGTAGCCTGGGTGCTGCCCAGCCGGGGGGCTGTTCTCACCACCTGCAGCTGGACTCCCGGGGCAGGACGCGAGCAGGATTCGTCAGGGATGCAGGGTGGTGGTGGCCGAAACCAACAGAGCAGAAGCGAAGTCCCCTCTGCAGAGGGTGTGGACACTGTGCGCATGGCGTGTGAGGCGCCCGGGACGCAGGTTCACGGCACGTGGCGGTGAGGCTCCTGTGACGCTTCTGCCATCGTTTCCCTGTGGTGACAGCTGACTCTCCGTGTGGACGGTGACTGGTCAGTTAGTGACCTTATGCGGTTGTTAAAGGGCACCTTACAGCTTGCAGAGAAGTTCCATTCATCCCTTGCTTTGCCCCCATGGGTGTCGTCAGCCATTGAAGGCCTAGTTCAACAGGGATGGGCCCTGTTGAAAGAGGGGGCACTTTAAAGTAGGGTCACCGTGAGCTTTGAATCAAGGCACCACAACTTCCTTTGGTCTGGTTCTTAACACAGGCTCTTAACCTTTGAACCTCAGCTTCCTCATTCATAAAATGGAGACAGGGATGACGATAATTTCAAGTACTTCTTGAGTTTTCCTGTGCCTGGCACTGCTCTCAGTGATTACGTGTGTTCGCTCCTCTCCTCACTGTAACCCGTGAGGTGCGTAGGTAATGTCGTTATCCTCGAGGTACAAAGGAACCAGAAGTTCAGAGATGTTAAGTAACTTGCCTAAGGTCACACAGCTAGTGAGTGGTGGAGCTGGGCCTCGAACCCAAGAGCTGGAGCCCCCACTCGACCACATTCTCACCTCTGTGACCCTACCAGGCAGGCAGGGTGAGCAGGGCGTGGGCTGATGTGGGCAGGTACCACGAGCCCCCTCTGGTGGCTTCTGTCACCGGAATTCATTCTCTTTCCTTCTCTCCAGGCGCACCTGGGTCCCTACCTCCACCTCACAGGCCTTGCCTGCCCTGCTTGTTGGCCTCAAAAACAAAGCCATTGTCAGCCTGCAGAGGAGGTGCCTCTGTTCACAGAGGCCCTTCATGCCCCTGACGTTTGAGCCTGATGTTTGAGGAACCCCTTCTTTACAAACTGTGCACGGGCCCCGGCTGCTGTGGCTCAGCCGATTGAGCACCAGCCTGTGAATTGAAAGGTCGCCAGTTCGATTCCCAGTCAGGGCACATGCCTGGGTTGTGGTCCAGGTCCCCAGTAGGGGGTGTGTGAGAGGCAGCCACACAGTGATATTCCTCTCCCTGTCTTTCCCCCTCCCTTCCCTTCTCTCTAAAAATAAGATCTGAAAGAGAACGAGAAGAAGGAAGGAAGGAAGGAAGGAAGGAAGGAAGGAAGGAAGGAAGGAAGGAAGGAAGGAAGGAAGGAAGGAAGGAAATTAATTGTACACAGAAATGTAACAAAAGCGACTTTCTGTGGCTGGAGCCGGAGGGGCAGCCTGGACCCCTGAGATGCCCGAGTGGTTTGAAAATCAGGCGGCGGGTCCAGAGCGGCGGACTAACTTGCTCAAAGACACACAGCGGTACTGACGGGTGTGGGGCGCAGTCAGTTTGAATTGAGCACCCACCACATGCCAGGCACGGTGCCAGGCCCTGGGCACACAGCGGTGGGGAAGGAGGCCAGTCCCCTGCCCTCCAGAAGGTTCAGAACTGCAGGGGTGCCTGCAAGTGCCTGGCCTGCAGGGTCAGGGAGGCTGTGTGGGGCAAGGGGCAGGCGAGTGGGGGGTGACTTGGCTGGGCAGAGGCGTCCGGTGTGTGCCAAGGCCCTGGGGGCGGGGCAGAGCTCGGGCAGGGAGGTCCAGCGTGGCGAGAACAGAGTGGCTGGAGGAGAAGGTGCACAGGTGTGCCTGGAGAAGCAGGTGAGGCCAGGGGTCCGCACTGCGCAGGTGCCCTGGAGAGCCACGCACGTTAGGACGCAGAGGAGCGACGATAAGCACTTGGATGTCACACACTCACGGAGAGGGGATTGGAGTGGGGCGAGGAGGAAGCGGCGGGACAGACCGCACTCGAGGCGTGGGGTGCTCACATGGGGGCACCCAGCCACCCTGGGCAGGGCCCTGCCCCTGCCCCAGGGGCCTCTCCTTGGTGGCTCCTGTTTGATTGCGGTTGCAATCGAACATTTGTTGGTGAGTGTTTACTTGCTGCCTTTCTCTCCCACTCGACCAGGGTTTCCTGGCTTTAGCACAGTCGACTGGGGCCGGATGGTTTGTCTTGGGGGGCTGTGCTGCATGTGTGGGGAGTGAGGCAGCATTCCTGGCCTCTCACTAGGTTCTAGAAGCATCGCCACCCCCTCAGCGGTGACAAACAGTGCCTCCAGACTTTGCCACATGTCCCAGGGGACTGAATGGCCCTGGCTGAGAACCACTGCTGGGGGGAAATGCACCTGGGGGGCTAGTGGGGTGTAAGCTCACGGGGTGTGAAGGGTTCCTTTGGGCGAGGGGGACTGGGCGAAGTTTCTCAGCCCTAAGAAGCCGATCTCTTCCAGGGTCATGGCCGGAAAAGTGAAATGGGTCACTGACATCGAGAAGTCGGTGCTGATAAACAATTTTGAGAAGAGAGGCTGGGTCCAGGTGGCAGAGAGCGAGGACTGGAATTTTTACTGGTGAGCGCAAAAGGCAGGGTCGGCTGGTTCCGGAGCCCACTTGTCGCTGTCCTTCCTCCACGTGCGGGTGGCCCCGGCGCAGGCCCACGTTCCCGGGGTGGGTGTCCCCGTGCTGTCCTGCCCCTTGTCCCACGTCTCTTCACGGTGCTCGGGGAGCGCACACAGAGAAGCCCTTGGCCCCACCCCGACCCCATTAGTGTCGCTCACAGTCTGCGCCAGGGAAGGCAGCGGTTTTCGGGGGGCGGGGGGTGGGCGGCAGGGGTCAGGAGTGGCGGTCCAGTCTAGGGCCTTGGATAACCCCCGGGGTTTTGGTCGTAAGGGGTCTCTGTCCTTCCTGACTTTGGGTGCAGACACTGTGTGACTTTCCTGACTTCAGAGTCTGAACCAGTGGTTTGCGTTAGTTGGTTGTCAGTGATCAGTGTTATCGTCTCAGTAGCACAGTCGGTGCGGGTTCGAGCCCCAGTCAGGGCACACACAAGCGTGAACCGAGGAATGCATAAATGAGAGGAACAACAAATTGATGTTTCCTTCGCTCTCTCCAAAAATCAATAAATTTAAAAGATTCTTTAAAGAAATCAGTGTTATCATTAATTGACAAACATTTATTGAGCACCTATTATGTGCCAGACAGTGAGACTGTTCAGGGTAGAGTCAAAACAGCTCCTGACTCAAACAGTTCATGCTGTGGAATGGGGAACGGGGGCCGGGCACCCCCAGCTCGTGCGCTGGGCGTGGGGGTGGGCAGTGAGCGAGGGCCCCGGGAGCCTCCTGGGCCGTAAGGACAGGGCCCCCACGCGGACGAATAGGAGCTTCCGACCTGCACGTCGCCTCCGTGTCCCCCTTTCAGGATGAGCGTGCAGACCATCCGAAACGTCTTCAGCGTCGAAACTGGCTACCGGCTCTCAGACGACCAAATAGTCAACCATTTTCCCAACCACTATGAGCTGACCCGGAAGGACCTGATGGTGAAGAACATTAAGAGATACAGGAAAGAGCTGGAGAAAGAAGGGAGTCCTCTGGCAGAAAAGGATGAGAACGGGAAATACCTCTACCTGGGTGCGTGCCTTTTTCACTGGCCTCAGGCTTCACATGTAAATAGTGGAGTTTTTTCGCTTCTGCCCCACGAGGTGGCGACCTTTGGGTGAGTGTGTCCGCGCAAGTTGTGCTGGGCGCCTCTTTCATCCCAGTGTCTCCAGGATTGGGGGGAGGCCTCAGGTTGGGAATCTGAGTGAGTACCTTGGGAATGTGTTTTGTTTGAGGAAGGGGGAGGATGTCCCCAATGCTCAGCACAGGCGACCGCTGCCTGAGCTACACAGTGCCCCGAGGGATTGTTACTGGTCCCAGCAATACCCAGAGAGGACGTGTGTCCCTATCCCATCCTGTGATGACAGCTGGGCTCTCGGATAGTTCCAGAACCCCTGTACATGCCTGGGCACGGTTGTGGAGGTGGCCCCTCTGGGCCTCAGTTTCCTCGCCCGGTCGGTGGGCAGGATCGGTCCCGAGCGCACAGGTGCTGTGGGGAGCCAGCGATCCAGACCTGTGAGGCGCTCCCGTGGCTCCCAGGCACCAAGGGCAAGGCAGCGACGTGCAGGAGCCAGGCCGCAGAAGCCCTGTTCTCTTCGACGTTGTTGGACGGGGCGGGGGAATGAATGACGAAGGCCCCCGAAGAGGCCGTGGCAGAATCTTCTGTTCATGGCCGCTCTGGGCCAGCTCACTGTGCTCCTCCGCTTCCCTTCCAGACTTCGTGCCGGTCACCTACATGCTGCCGGCCGACTACAACCTGTTCGTGGAGGAGTTCCGGAAGAGCCCCTCCAGCACCTGGATCATGAAGCCCTGCGGCAAAGCACAGGGCAAGGGCATCTTCCTGATTAACAAGCTCTCGCAAATCAAGAAGTGGTCCCGGGACAGCAAGACGTCTTCGTAAGTGTGGGGAACACCCGTTCCATGTGCTTCCTGGCTGGCAGATTTGTGTCACCTGTCTGTCAGCCTCGGGCTGGGTGGCCCTCGCTTGCTTTTGCGGGGGTTCAGGGCAAGGCCTGTGGCTGCATGAGCATCAGTAACGATGGAAGCTCCCGAGCCGAGGGCCCGAGGGAGCGCTGCTAAAGCCCGCATAGGTCACGGGAGCCTGGTGCCGAAGCTGGCGAGAGAGCCATCCAGTTGCAGCATCGCCGAGATGGCGGAGCAGCTGAGTGGGACTCGGGACTTGAGTCCCTGACACGTGGTGCCTGAGCATGTTTCGTTGCACAGAGCCTCGGGTTCCACACCTGGGTAAACTGAGGTCAGCGACAGTGTCACCCCCACAGGGCAGCTGGGGGTGGACTGAGTTCACCCGCATCTGAGCCCGGGCAGTGGGAGGAGTCGCATCGGGTCAGGTCCAGCCTCCGCCCTGGGCTGGAGGGTCTCCTCGGTACTAAGGGTTCCAGGCCATTTTGTCCAAGGCTCGCTCTCGGCCTCTGCAAGGTCCTTCACCGCTGTCCATGTGATCCTCTCCCACGGCGAAGGCACACCTGGCAGGCGTTCCCAGGAGTGGCAGGGACACCTTCTCTGGCAGCACGTTTAAATCTGATGCATTGGTAGCCCTCAGGAGGGTCCACCCAAGGAGCCTGATGGGTCCCAGGAGCCGCAGCCACATCCCCTGGGCAGAGGTGGGGGCCCCTCTGTGGACAGCACCTCACCCCTGCCTCCCCACCTAAGGAAAGGCGGAAAGCTTTGGTCCCTGTCTGACTCGGGCTCTCCCCGGCACCCAGGTTCGTGTCTCAGTCCACCAAGGAGGCCTATGTGATCTCGCTCTACATCAGCAACCCGCTGCTCATCGGCGGCAGGAAGTTCGACCTGCGCTTGTACGTCCTGGTGTCCACGTACCGCCCGCTGCGCTGCTACATGTAAGAGCCCCGGGGCCCCGGCGTCATTCCTGATCGTGCTGTGGCGTGACGCTTACCCCTTTGCGCTGTCGCAAGGGCTGGTGAAGCACCCTGGTGCACACAGCGCCTGGCGCGTGCTAAGTGTCGAGTGAAGTGCCTAACCTCAGTGCTCATGTCAGTCTTCCTGATAAAAGGCAGCTCCTCCTGCCCTGCAGACGGGCTGTGCTCAGTGAGGGAGGCCAGCTGCAGAGGACCGAGTCATTCTGTTTCTGTGGAATGCCCGGAGTAGGCAGGCCTTTAGACGAAGGCAGGATTGGCGTTGGCCGGGCACTGGGGGTGGGGAGGGGCTGCTCGCGGTCACGGGGCTTCTTTTCAGGGTGGCGCGAATGTGAGATTCATTGCGGTGATGGCCACAGGACATTGCATTGCATATACTGAAACCAGAGTTGCCTGCTTCAGAGGTTGACTTGTGTAGCACGTGTGAATTATGGCTCAGTGAAGTTGTTGTAAGAAAAGAACCGTTCAAAAAGGACTGCTTTTAAAAGTCTAACAACAAAGATCCCCCAGCTCCTAGTAGAGAATAAAGTGGTGTATTTTTTAACTTTGACAGGAATTTAAGAACTTCTTTTTTTTCTTTTTCAAAGATTTTATTTATTTTCAGGGAGGGGAAGGGAAGGAGAAAGAGAGGGAGAAAAACATCAGGGTGTGATTGCTTCTCATGCGCCCCCTACTGGGGACCTAGCCCGCAACCCAGGCACGTGCCCTGACGGGGAATCGAACAGTGACTCTGGTTCCCAGGCTGGCGCCCAGTCCACTGAGCCACACCAGGCAGGGCTGAAGTTGTGTGTTTTTCTATGCTCTTCCTCAGAGTAGTGAACTGATCCGAATTCCCACTCAGGTATAAGCTGGGCTTCTGCCGCTTCTGCACTGTGAAGTACACCCCCAGCACCAGTGAGCTGGACAACATGTTCGTCCACCTCACCAACGTCGCCATCCAGAAACACGGGGTGAGGCTGCCTTTTCCTCCAGCCTAAGGAAGCAGGCTGATGTCGTGGGCTTCTTTCTTCTCCCATTTCTGCAGGAGAGGGTGTGGTGGGGTGGGAGTAACACGGAGGTGCCCTGGCACCCACGAGGCGTGGGGGCCATAAGTATCCAGTGTGGCTGTCCTGCCACCAGCCGAACCAGTATGGTTCAGCCCATACTGGTTTCCCTCCCTCCAGTATGGAGGGGGGCTCGGGGCAAAGGAAGCTGAGCGCAAGCCCTGCCTTTCTAGTTCGGTGACCTTGGGTGAGTTAACTGGACTCTCAGAGCCTCAGTTTCCCCAGTTGTAAAAGGAGGTGACATTGTCACCTTCGAGGGTGGTGGGGAGGACCTCGTGAGAGCGCTCAGGCCCAGTCGTTCGTCCGACAAGCGTGCACTGAACCCCCATTGGGGCTGGTCCCTCGCCAAGAGCTGGGGCTACAACGATGGGCGAACCTACCTTGGTCCCTACACGTGGAGCCCAGGGCCCCTGGGGGGAAAGACAGTCACCAGATGACCTCACTGACGAGTGTGCAGTCCCCAGCTGAGATGTGTGACCTGAGGGAAAGGAACACATGTCCAGAGGAGCTTGGCGCAATGAGTCCCCCTGTCCAGGTGGTTGGAGAAGGCTTCCCTGCAGAAGTGGGGCTTGAGCAGGGGTTGCCCAGGCGGAGGTGGGGAAAGAGCCTTCTGGCGGAGGGTGCGGCACGTGCCGAGGCCCTGCAGCTGGGAGCAGCATGGCAGGAGCTGAAAGGAGGTCAGGGTGGCTAGAGCCCCGAGTGCGAGGGTGGTGAAGTGAGAGGTACCACAGTCTTAGGGCGGGTGGGGCTCCATAGCCTGTAGCGCAAGGTACGAATGATTAGTTGTGAGAGTATCCAGAGCCGAGTATTTTGACAGTGTGTACGTGTGGGAGGCCCGGATCCCCGCCCTGGGGCCAGGTCCACCCACAGGAGGGAGGGCGCACTCGGCTCCTCTGCAGAGCGAGGCCTGAGGCCCCGCCCCCTTTGCCCTGGCCAGGAGGACTATAACCACATCCACGGGGGCAAGTGGACCGTGAGCAACCTGCGGCTGTACCTGGAGAGCACCCGAGGCAGGGAGGTGACCAGCAAGCTGTTCGACGAGATCCACTGGATCGTCGTGCAGTCGCTGAAGGCTGTGGCGGTGAGTGCAGGGCGGGGAGGGGCAGAGGGGGCACAGGAACGAGGCAGCCCGGCCGGGGCTTGCAGCTGGTGGTGCTTGTTGTTCCTTGCTGAAAATACCTGTGTTCAGGGTCTCACCTCCCGCTTGTCTGCTCCAGGCTGAGGCTGGTTTGGGAAGGTGGGCGGAGCCGCTTCCAGCTGGGAGCTGCCCAGGGTGCGCTGGGAGCCGGGCCTTCTGCCGCAGTCACAGGCCTTCTGTGCTCATTGAATCAGTAACAGATATTTGGCATAAGCTGATGTTTGGGAGGCGGACTTGCAGCAGCCTCCTCATGTTTAGGCTTCTGGCTTTGCTCCTTGGTAGATGTTGAGGGTTGCGGGGGCCCGCCTTCCCTCCGCCAGTGAGAAGCAGACTTCCCTCCCGGGGTGGGGGTGGGGGAGTCTGCTGCCTCACATGCAGGGCTTTTGACCGTGTCTACACGTCCACTGACGTACAGCAAGGCCTCGCTGTGTGTCTGTGTGCCTCCCTCGCTGTGCCCCGTGGCCGCAGGCGGAGCCCCTCCTGCTGGCCTTAATCCATGCAACCTGGGAGGCCCAGAAATCTGCATTGTGGGCAAGTGCTGGTGGGGGTTTTGTGCACCTGCAGAACAGTTTGTAAAATGAGACTGAAAATTGAAAACCCCCAAATTTAAGTCAACAGATTGACTGTTGTTGCAGAGAATGGGGGCTCGTAACCTGGCACTTGCACCCCCAGGGGCCCGAGAGGTGACTACCAGTGGTGGGCAGTGTTGTTTGGTTTGTGATGAGGGTGCATGGCTGTAATTCTGACGCCCAGGCTGGAGCTGGGTCTCCATTCACTCTAAGGACAGTCTTGTGTCGACGGAGACGCTCTTTGTTTGCTGGTCACCGAGCCTCTGATGAGTGAGAGCTGGGAACAACGTGATTTCGCCATAAATCACTTTCTGAGGTCGACAGAAGTGTCCTCCTCTGAGCGCTGAAGGAGGGTCAAGGGAAGGAAGGGAGGAAGGAGGCGGGTGGAGGTGGGGACCCACTGGTCACAGAAGTGAGGTGAGGCGCATCACAGCCATGCAGAGGGCCCTGCTGCCCCCACGTCCCAAGTCAGAGGTGCTGGGCTCGCTGGGTCCCGTGTGCTGGCCTGGTGACCGCGGTCGCTCTCTCCACAGCCGGTGATGAACAATGACAAGCACTGCTTCGAGTGCTACGGTTACGACATCATCGTCGACGACCGGCTGAAGCCCTGGCTGATAGAGGTAACCGCACGGCCGGGTGCCTGCTGGCCCCCAGCCCACCCCGAGGCCGCTGCCCCCCTTCAGGCTCTGCTGACCCAGCAAAACGGCCCTCAGGCTGGACGGCAGGACTGAGGCCTCTGATGCGTTTTTAAGTGGAACAGGGACAGATGTCCTGGTGTGTCTGTCTGCTGATGGTTGAACAGGAGCCCATTCTGGGTCTGTCTCCTCAGGTGGGCCCAGCCCACAGACCGGAATTCGGCGGACTGTCTGCCCCGGTGCTCCAGGGTACTGCTGGTCGACTCTGTGCTCGGTGGCCCTGCCTTGTCCTCGAGGGCAGTGTCATTCTGGTTCTGGAAGGGAGCTCACAGACCCGGATGCCCTTGGGCAGTGGTGGCTTCTCATCCAGAGATAAGGAGCCTCATCTTTTTTGGATGAAAGCAGAGTTTGGATTAGTCTCTCTGTTTCAAGGCAGAGACAGATGTTGTGATGGCTGTTCTAGAAAGTTCTAGAAAGGGTGAAGTGCCTACACCCTTCTCCCTTGACAAGCCTGGATGAGGCCACCTCGGAGGACAGCAGCCACTGGTGGCTGTGGGCATCGGCACACCCATCGAGGCCAGGTGGGGAGCTGCCTTGTGGGGTTGCCCGCTTTGCTTTGGGTCCAGGGAGGGGAGCTCAGGCCTCTGTGGGGACACAGGGTCAGATGTGCCATAAGATTGAAGGCCGTCCCCTTGGTTGGTTCACCTCCTTGTGAGCCTCTGAGCACTGGGGCTGCTCACCAGGAAAGCCAAGACTCAAGAGCAACACGCGGTGAGCGGTCCCGGGAGGTGGGCTGGAGTCCCTGCAGGGCGCTGCCGGGGCGGCCAGGCTTCCAGAGAGCAGACCGTGCTCCATAGCAGTGCTTTCCAGTCCGCTGGGCGCTCCCACCAGAGCCGTGCGTGAGCACTCGGGCACGTGCGTGGGTGCCGGGGCGGGGGCAGACACACGTAAAATATCTCCGTTGCCTTTCCATGCATCTTAAACAGAGCGACTTGAGGGGAAGTCAAGCTTCCCTTGATGAGCTAGGATCTTAACTGAGTATCACTTCTAACATACTAACATCTTAGTTCTAGCACATTCCCAGTAAGAACCACGGTATTATGCTTATAGGACAGTGGTGGCCCCTGGGGCCCCTGAGGCCCGGACACTCCCTCTCACTGTGCACGAGACCCACTGCCCACAACTCGAGGAAGCCGGACTGTTGGGGGACACCTGGACAAGTGGCAGGCTTGCGCCTCTGCTCTCCCAGGTCATCATGGTTGTGCTGCAAATAAGAGGGAGTAGGCGGGGCTGTGGGCCAGCGGGGCTCTTTTCGGGGTAAATGTCTGCTTTTTTTTTTTTTAAAGACTTTATGTATCTATTCTTAGAGAGGGGAAGGCAGGGGGAAAGGGAGAGAAACATCGATGAGAGACAAACATGGATCTGTTGCCTCTCGTATGCCATCTGTGGGACCGGCCTGCAACCCTTTGCTTTGCAGGTCAATCCCCAAACGACTTAGCTGCACCAGTCAGGGGGAGTGTCTGCTTTGAACATGTGGGTTTTGTGACATTGCTAAGCTCCACAGAAGCCTTGGGAGACTAACTTCTCTTATCAGATGGGCTCCTCTTTTGGGTCGGAATATCACTTTATGGCTGAGGTTTCACCGTCTCAGCAAACAGGGCCCGTCACCATGTGCTCCAGCCCCACGGTGCAGCTCAGGCGGGCTCGTTTGGTTCCAGATCTAGCAGAGCTCCGGGCGCTTCTGGGACTTCGGACGGCACCCAGCCCGTGGTGGCCCCGATAGGTGTGCGGCAGCCGTTGACCTGCAATTTTTATCTGTGTGATGACTGATCTGTAGACCACAGTGCTAATCTCTGTACGTTATTTGTTTCGTCTGACCCCTAATAAGAGCAGACCGCAGAGTCCGTCCTCTAAAGCCGTCCCGAAGGCAGGAGGCCTTAACAGCGCAAGACGAAGACCAGACCTCAACGCGCAGCAGCGCCGTTTTCACCCCGAGGGAGTGGGGACGCGAGTGAAGGACCCCTTTCTCTCCTCTCCTAGGTTAACGCCTCCCCGTCTCTCACCTCCAGCACCGCCAACGACCGGATCCTGAAGTATAACCTGATCAATGACACCCTCAACATCGCCGTCCCCAACGGCGAAATCCCGGACTGCAAGTGGAACAAGTCCCCCCCAAAGGAAGTCCTCGGCAACTACGAAATCCTGTGAGTTCCCGCGTGGCCGTGCGCCATCCTTGTGTGTTCGGACTGAGGGCTGCCGGGGCCCGGCTTGGTTTCTGTCCGCGTGGACTCGCCTCACGGGAGCAGAGGACTTCTACAGCTTCTTTTTTTTTTTAAATAAGATTTTACTTACTTATTTTTTTAGAGAGAGAGACCAGGAATTGAACTGGCGACCTTTTGGTTCGCAGGCCCACACTCAGCCCACTGAGCCACACCAGCCAGGGCGAGCAGAATATTTATTTCGTTAATGATGTTACAGGATGCATCACGTTGTAGCAGAAAAGTGTGTGGGTGCCACACCGGACCTTTGTCTGGTGTTTGTATAGTAAGTAGGAATGAGGCGCCTGCCACGTGCCGGGACCAGGCGCACCGACCCCTGCCTCAGGCGGGGTTACTCAGACCTGCCCCGCAGATGCCATGCGAAGTATTTCCAGACTTCACCTCTCCTTCCCTACACTGAAGTCTCATTCATGTTTCCTCTGGGGTCTCAGCCAGATGCCATCTGGTGGCGGGGACAAAATGGCACCCGTGGGTCTGGGGACAGTCCACAGTAACAGTGTGACAAGGTTGCGCTGTTATGCCCGTGGCCTCGGGCTGCCAAAGGCGGCCACACTGCTCCCCGGGGTGACTCGGCACTCGCCACACCACAGCCCAGGGCCCGCTGTTGCCGCGTCCCCGAGACCTCTTTCTCCGCTCCTCTGTTTCTAGCTACGACGAGGAGCTGGCGCAGGCCGACGGGGCCGACCGGGAGCTGAGGGGTCGTTCGGGCCCGGCGGCCGGGCCCAAGGGAGGCCGGGGGAGAGACTCGGGGAGAGACTCGGGGAGAAACGCCCTCACCACCTGGAAGTGACCCCAGCGAGGGCAGGACTGCAGCCTGGACCCGCCACTCACTGCGCCCAGGCCTCACCGAAGACCCGTTTTGAAATTTCCTTTTTCTAGAGTTTTTTTTTCTTTCCCAAGCCCTGTAAATAAATAAAGGCACTTCTTTGGAAGGTTTGGGAGTCTATTCCTGGGAACAAACTCCTTTCTCCTTCGCCCTCACAGGCACAAGCTTCTGGCCAGGCCTGGGGATGTTCCCCACACCAAGCAGCCGCACATCCCCAGCCAGTCTGGCGCCCTGCGGGGGCGTTCAGTTCTGCCCCTTCTGCCTGGAGGGGGTGGCAGACCCTCCCACGGGCACAGGGCTCGCTCCCTGTGCCGCAGACCACAGACTGCGAACCGCTGGGGTAATTTGTTAGAGCGGCTCATGGGACTCAGGACAAGCGGACTTCCCAGATTACTGGTTCACTGCAAAGGATCCGACCTCGGAACGGCCAGGCGGCTGCGATGCAAAGGGCAGGGTATGGGAGGGGCCGCGGCTTCCCGCGCCCTCCCCAGGGTGGAAGGCAGCACCGTCCTCCAGGCCCTCGCATGCTCAGCCCCCTGGGAGCTCTCCGAAGCCTGTCATTCAAATGCCATCGTTTGGGTACTTACAGAGGCTTCTTTGCATAGCTGTGATTGATCAACTCCTTGGCCACTGGTGATTGATTCAGCCACCTCCAGGCCCCCTCCACTCCTGGAGGGTGGGAGTTGGGCCTGAAAGTGCCCACCCTATGACCCCATGATTGGTTCCCCTGGCAGCCACCCCTGACCCCCCAGACTGGCTTCTCCGGTGTCCCACACCCTTCATGCATTAGCGCAGGCTGACAAGGTGGAAGGGGCCTGTTCCAGATGACGCAATTACACCGTTAGGTGCCGAAGCCAGTTCAGGGACTGAGAACAGAGGTGGCCAGGGGGAGGGAGGTACAGGGGACTAAATGATAGTGGGAAAAAATACAATAAAGTTTAATTTGTTTTAAAAAAGCAAAAGAGATAAAAAAACGTATGGGCCCTGGCTGGTGCGGCTCAGTGGATTGTGTGCCGACCTGCAAACCAAAAAGGTCACGGGTTTGATTCCCAGTTGGGGCACGTGCCTGGGTTGCATGTTTCCAGTAGGGGGCGCACAAGAGGCAGCCAATCAATGTCTCACACGTGGATGTTTCCTCCTCCTTGTTTCTCTAAATAAAACCTTTTTTTAGAAAAAGTTTCTATAGCTCTTAGAAAGGAAATGGCAGGTTTTAGGGGCTGTGTGCCTGGGTGGAGGTGAAGAGCGTGCGCACGTGCACACACACACACACTTCTTAGCGGTCACAGGGTCACAGCCCATCCCATTGGGGCGGAAAGAGCTGGCCACACCTGGCCCTTTCAGCAGCTATGGCTTCGGTGTGGGATTTAGTTTATTATAAGGTGCCCATATTTTCAACGTTTAGCTAAATTAAAGACACAGCTGAAACCTGGGCATCTTGCAGAATCATGGTGCTGCGAGGAAGCAAGAGTTTTAACCTGGCGGCTATTTTGGGTCCCTCCCTTTGACCATGATTTTGAGGGAAATGGGTGGCTGGAAGTATTCCTCAGTCTGGTCTTCACACAGGCCTCCGTCCAGATGCTCTCGGGAGACACCGGCCTCTGTCGCCTCCGTTTTGCCGGTGAGTCACTGCCGGGTGAGCCCAAATTCCTGCCACGTGGCTTCCGGGACACGGGTGTCTGGATTGGCTTCAGGAGAGGCGAGCGCTGTTGGCGGCCATCAGCGAGGACGGGCTCTTGTGTGTTTACACAAAGCCACTCGGACACGGGGCTGAACAGGCGCATGGGAGGAGACGCGGGTTGGTTGGGCGGAGTGACTGACGCATCCAAATGGCCCTCGAGGCGGGCACTCGGGCCTCTGCGGGGTTCACGTTTTCGGGTGGGAGCGGGGCTCTGCGGTGCGGTTTATTGATGATGCCCCAGCTCCAGCTGCTCACCGTGGAAACAGTCCAGTCTTCAATTGGGCCCGGATGAAGGCCACTGGCCAGAGCTGTGCTCCCTGTTGGAGTCCGGTCCAGTCCAGCAGCGGCCAGCTTAGCGTATGCTTCCAGCTGTGGTCCATTGCTGGGCTTTGGTGTCCAGGCTCCCTCCTGCAGGCCGTGGGGAGAACAGGTTCGCGCAGCGTGAGCACCTTGAGTGAGGGGCAGGAGAGGGAGGGAGGGAGGGAGGGAGAGAGAGCATGCAAGCTCTTTTGTTCTCTTGTGGTTATAACCTGGAGTGTGGGTTTGGGACGGGCCAGGTGCTTTTTCAACAGAAGCAGTCAACTTCTCAAGCTTGAACAGGCTTCAGAAGGGTCCGCACCCCCTGGTCAGACTGAGAGGCCTCCAGGGCCCAGCCCCTCTCCTTGCACCCTGGAAGGAGGGCTTTGAGCCCCAGACAATGGCTGCCGGCCCCCCAAAGCGTGAAGCGGCAGCTTCCCGGCTGAGTGAGCACTTCTGCTTCCCAGGGCGTTAAACGCAGCATCTCGTTCCCTTTGCTCTCTTTCCCAGCTAAGTACTGACAGCAACACAGTGACCCCCATTTGCTGAGCTTCTTTTACTAAAACTTTCCACCCTTTTTTTTGTGATGGTGTTGGTAATGGGACTTTGTTCTCACGGTGTTACTCCGAGGCCACACTTGGAGGTCTTTACCTTCCCGACTTGTAAACATGCGTCACTTAACATGTCATATCATGTGTGTCTGTGCGCTCACTATGTTTAATAACACTTCGGTGCCAGTTAGGGAAAAGGTCCCTGTAAACGGATCAAGTGAACCTTCTAAAGTGAGAGGAGCGTTATGCAAATGGTATTTAGCCAGAATCCAAATAAACTGCAATTTGGGCAGGTCCGTCTCCTTGGTTCACTGTACGCCTGTCATTGTTCCCACCTATTGATCCGATTTGCATGTGCCTGTCATGCATCACTTGATGTTAGGTCGAGTGTCTCCGGTGGTGGGTGCGGCTGGAGCCTCAGACTCAGAGCCGGGCCTGCCTCCTGGCTCTTCCCGTCGTTAGTCCGTCCCAAGGCTGTCGGTCGCTCTGTGGACCTTTGCTCCCTAAGTGTGTAAAAGAGGCTTCTTTTATTTGCCTCAGAAGTCACGAGTGCCACTGCCTGTCCAGCCTGGCTCCTGTCACAGCCCTGGCTGTGTCATCTTTCCCGGGAGGGGGCCTCGTCCCTGTGGCCGTGGCCTCCACCCTCGGCTTCCGCACAGAGCCTGTCCCCCCCGCCGGCTCTGACCGCCCAGGTTCCTGGTCAGGTGGTTGCATTTGTTCCTCCTACACGTACCCGGGAAAGGGTGGGGCCCCTGGTGGGGGGCTGGCCTTGCCCCGAGCTGGGGAGGACTGAGGTCGTCTGTTTGCCAAGGGCCAGGTTGCTAGGTGGGAACCAGTGTCTGCTAAACAGATTTGTGTCGCATACTGACCATCGCTTCAGTCACGTCAGCAATGTCATGTTCTGGGCAGGTGCTTCCTCCCAGCATGTCCAGAATGCGCGCAGGCAGGAAGCGGAGTCCGAAGCAGGCCTGGGAAGTGGCAGGCTCGTCACTGGGTCTCCCACCTAGAACCCCACCGGTCTCAGGCCACAGCCCTGTGGCATCCAGCTGGGCCCCACCCTCCGGCCAGCGACTCTTCCGACTGGTGGCCACTGTCTCTGTGTGTCCCACACCACCCGTCCTCGGAGGCCCTCTGACCTCTCTGCCCGCGCTGTCCTTTCCCCAGGAGACTGGGACGCTCCTAGCCTGGCTGTCTCTCCCAGCAGCCAGGGCGGGGCTTCCGTCGAGCTGCCTGGCCCTAGGTCTGCCCAGTGTCGGGCCCCAGGCCCCCACGGTCCGGAGAGGCGGGCCAGGGCCTGCTGCCAGCTCACCTCCGGGCCCAGAGCCTGCTGCTGCCCAGGGATCAGGGACCCCCAGGGCGTCCACAGTGTCATTTAACCTGAGCCGTGTCCCAGTGGCGTGGTCTCGGGGCATCTCCGGACCCTTTGTGAGGAGAGAGGAGAGTTGTCCAATGGGCTCTGGTTTCTCATTTAGGAAGGTGGGTGTTTTCGTGTCTTTGCTGGGACCCCCTCACACCTGTTACTAGAAATGAGCCTGGGGGACCGCAGAGTCCCCTGCTTGCCACTTGTCCAGCGTTGCCTTTCTTTTTCAAGTTTAACCCCCTTAATTTTTCTTATCTGCAAATGCTGCATCGTAGCCCCTCTTTCTTACTGTACTCGATGCCCTTCGGCAATAACGGTCAGGGAACATTGACAAGATACAGGTTTATCACTTACAAGACCTGGACATTACCTGGGGCCACAGAGTCAAGTCCCAGGGGTGGGGGGTGGGCCCTTGGGCCTGGGATTCTGCTTTCACTGGGGTGGGGACGGGGTGTCTAGGCTTTCTCAGGTTCATTCTTCATGGTGAACTTCAAACATAGGAGCAGGGAGTTTAAAACACAGGCGAGGAAACATGAGTGGCCCAAAGGTCAGTTATTGAAATCAACCAAAATCTCTAAAACCAAGGAGCCTCCAGGGCAGGTGGCCTGGCCCCTCACTGAGCCCTGCCGCTGACAGTGTGTTACTGCAGACGGCCACCGTCCAGGTGGAAGACCTGGGCCAGGGCTGCCTCCTGATCGGAGCTTAAAGCGGGCACGTGGGCCACAGAAGCAGAAGGAACAAAACAGAACACAATGTTAGGGCTTGCACAGCAGCCCTAGGTCTGAGACCGGTGTCCTTAGCAGAGGACAGAGGACACTGGGAGAAGAAGGCCACCATGTGCAGACAGAGGCAGAGGCAGGAGACGCTGCCCCAAGCTAAGGAAGCCAGCCTGCAGCAACCTCGGAATCTGGAAGAGGGCCAGGAAGATTCTCCCTCAGGAGGAACCTGCCCTGAGGACTCCTGGATGTCAGTCTCTGGCCCCCCGAGCTCTGGAGGAATTGTTGCTGCTGCTGTTTTAAGCCGCCCAGAGCTCAGTAATCTGTTGCAGTGGCCCCAGGAAAATGACAGAGTGGGCAGGAAGAGAGAGGTCCAGGGAGGCAGCCCTTGACCTGCCGGCCCCAGGTGGCAGGTGAGACCCCTGGGTCTCCCTTGGCCTCCCTGGCCCCAGGCCTCAGCTCTGCGCAGCCTCACAACGAAGCCCCCACCGCAGCGGCGTGG